AGGATTGCATTACCTTTCTGAAGTTAGTTGCGAACAAGATATTGATAAAGGTTATAGGAAATTTGTTGAAGCTGCGAATTTTTATCTTTCTGATACAAAATCTTGGAAAAATAAATATGGAGGAATAAAGGATTATAATGCAGAAGTAGCAAAAAATTTGTTATATAAAGATGAATATAATAAAGTAATACAGAATCTTAACAATCAATATGACAAGAAACCAAATAAATCTGAATATGTAAGACTTGGATTAGCTAGATATTGTATTAGAAGAAAATATTTAATAAAGCTCTGGATCTACTAATTAAAGTTGAACAACACCAAGACAAAGAAATTTTTAGCCAAAAGGAGAAATTAATTAAAGATGTTAAATATTTTATATTACAAGGAAAATAAAATTGCAGATGCCAAATAGTCCTCATGTATAATGAACAGAATTATATTTTGCATAATATGCTTAAAGATTTGTACGTTCTGTACATATAATTATATCAGATATGTTTTAGTCAAATTTAGAGTTAATTAGAAAGGCTTCTTACAATATATACTGATACCATATAACAAATACAGAATTTAAACTCAATTTTTTTTATTTATAAATACCATCATAGTAATATATGTAAAACATATTACAAATAATTCAATACTTTATAAATAAAAATATGTATTAATTTATTATAAATTAACTACTGTTATACTTGATATGAAAAATACTATACATGTTACAGATTAACAAACTTTCCAAAATACAATAGATATGATATATAGACCAATAATCAATCATTAAAATACAGAATATTCTTTTGAAAAATTTTCTTATAAATCTTTATAATATGACATGGATTTGATTTTGTAATCCTATTATTGGCTGAAGCTGAGGAGAACAAAATAAAAACCTTTCAACCACTCTACTAAATTTTTGAAAATATTCAGCTCCTGGTTATACTGATCCAAATTTTAGATCATGTATTTAGAAATTGAACCTAAATCGAGTTTAATATTTGGATACTGAATTCTTAGTTTAAAATATAGTAGCTGACTTTTAATAGAATCTATTAATTGACTTTTAATAAATTATACATAAAAATACTAACTTTTAATAAAGGCAAATGATATTTTCACACCCCTTTTTTGATATTTCCACACCCATACAGATCACTTTTTTTTAAAAATTAATCAAAAGTATCTCGATGACTACCTGACAAAATTCAATAAAAAATTTTTTATTAGAATTCTATGAGTCTGTAGAATTCAAATAAAAAGAAATCATAGAAATTGGCTGGTGGTAACCAAGATACCTTCAATCAAAGTTATATAAAATTTTGCCACAGCTATTATTTTGATAGATGTTTAAATTTTTTTAAACCTTTGATTGAAGGTATCTCAATGACTACCTGATCAAATTCGATGTTTTTTTTATTTAAATTCTACAGACTAGTAGAATTCTAATAAAAAAAATTTATTGAATTTTGTCAGGTGGTTGTCGAGATACTTTCGATCAAAGTTTTTTAAAAAAACTAAACATCTATCAAAATAAGAGCTATAGTAAAATTTTCTCTAACTTTGATTGAAGGTATCTTGGTAACCACTTGACTAATTTCAAAGATTTTTTTATTTGAATTCTACAGACTTGTAGAATTCTAATAAAAAAATTTTCATTGAATTTGGTCAAGTGTTTGTTGAGATACCTTTGATCAAAGGCTTAAAAAAATCTAAATATCTATCAAAATAATAACCATGACAAAATTTTCTCTAAATTTGATTGAAAATATCTCAATAACCACTTGATCAAGTTTGATGAATTTTTTTTTATTTAAATTCTACATACTCATAAAATTCTAATAAAAAAAATTTATTGAATTTGGTCAGGTGGTCATTGAGATAACTTCGATTAAAGTTTTAAGAAAAGTGATCTACATAGGGGTGTGAAAATATCAGTTGCCTTAAATCAGATTTCGATATTCAGACATTAAGCCTAATTTTGGTTTAATTTCTGAATATTGAACCTCCAGCCAAAAAGAATCTCATTTACATAATTTTTTTATGTCTTATTTTTATTAAACATGTACCTATTTAATTTAGCGTAATTTTGATGAAGTATAATCGGCCGCTTACGCGGCTGATTATACTTCACTACAAATTCTGCTTATACAGTACGTACCCAACTGCTCAGGCTATTTTAACTCAAGATTTCAGGTATCCAAACGTTGAATCTACTTACGATGCGATGACATATTTATGACAACATAAATTCTTATTTTCACCAATAAATAAATTTTTTTTTTTTATTAAAATCAGCTACGCAAAAATATTGTTTTGACCCATTTAACCTATTTTTATTGACCCACTCGCAAAAACATCGTTTTTGGCCATTTGACCCCCCTAAAAAAAGATCTGCACCATTTTTAACCCACGACAATAATTGTGTCACGTGCATATCTCGAATTCGATAAAGAAAAAAAATTATACAGTATATATTATTTAGCATTGTCATACTGTATTATAGTACATATATCACGTTCAACTACACAAGTCCTTGTTTTATGGATCAATTAATTCGTTCTCGGCTTGAACTTTGTGATAAAGGAAGCGAATATCAACGGCTCACCCAAATAGTAACTGAACAACACAGTTATTATCGATACGAAAAGAAGAGGAAGCCATCTTGTGTGAAGAATTAGTACAGTTTTGACTTGTATTTCTATATTTTATTTCACAAGTTCAGATGATAGCCGTTCTTATTAGAGTTTAACTTAGAGA